CTCCTGGGCTGCGCTGCCGCCGGGGCCGGGAGCGGCTCTTTCTCCTTCTTCCTCCCCCTCACAGGACGCTCGGCTGGGGCGAGGCAGCCGCTGCGTGAACGTTTGTCTTGGGAGTAGGAGACGCACCAACAGCCCCGAAAATGCCGAAGCCGGTAAGTGGGGTACGGGGAGCGGGGGAAGGAGCCTCGGGAGCCCTGCTTGAGAGCTGGATTACCGCGTCTTCTGCCATACTCCTGTCCTGGAAACGTACCGGCCTCCCGAGCAACTCTTACAAGAAGAGCTTTTGCCACACTTCCACTTACAGAGGTGGCAGGGCTGACCTGCCTTCTTGCATTTAGCATTTGCAGGAGACGTGTATGTGTCTGTAAACATCGGAGAAACTTCTTTCCCCCTTACTTTGTCATCTAAAAGCTAAATGCCAGGGACTCTTAATGAAGTTTTCCACAATAAGAACTTTACCAATCATGATCAGAAACCTTTTTTTTTGTGTGGGTTTTTTTTTTTTTTATATTGAACAAACTCGGCTAGCTTTTCCACTGACTTATTTTTCTTTACACCACCACCGCCCCCCGATCTTCTAGTGGGTTTTTGGTTGTTCTGTTTTAAAGTCAGTTACTACCCTGCTAGTCAGGAGAATTTCCTTGAAGAACCAATTGCCTAATGCAAAGCTTTGGGCAGTTATTGGAGCAGACACACCTTTGAACTCTGAAGAGCATAATCGGAACAGATTTGTTGCTATCTGCTCTCAATAGAGGCAATATTTCTTAAAGTGCAGTGAAGAACTTATGTGGGTATTAGCTACATGCTATGAAATGCGAGTAAACAAGTTTGTCTTCATGGTAATAAGCAATTGATATTACCATCATAACATCAAAGTTAGTTTAATTTTTTTTTTTTCAAAACCCGTGTGCTTAGGTTAATTTACATTGCAGTTTCTGTAAACCTAAAAAAAAAAAAAAGTTGCTTAATTCTTTTAAGAAGTGTTAAATTTTCAGTCTCCCTGGATGTATTTCATCAGTAGGAGAAGATATATTGCTGCATATAAAAATGTATACTGAAAGGACCCTTCTGCAACTGGGGGAGCAAATACATAATTTACAAAGTATGGATATAAAAAGTATGTGAATGATCTCCTTGTCTTATTAGCCACTTGCTAATTACAGAGTGCTTTCTCGAAATACTCTGGTCAGAATAATCTGAAATCTGGTTTAGGAATAAGTCATACTGGAAGCTGCGGATAGGTGTGGAAAAACTCTTTAATCTCTTAAATAATAATACAGCAGTGTTCATCCTTTTACCTGGCATGAATGTGTTCATATTACCTCATAGACGGTGTTTTTTCTGTTTCTTGACTGACTAGCCAGTGAATAACAAAGGTGGATGGTGTAAACCACCTTCCACTAGGGAAGGACAGTTGTACTGTAATGATTTCTGAGATGTGACCTACTGGCTGGGATTTATGTAGAAGACTCTCAATAGTTTGTACAGTATAAGAACTTTAAAAAAAAAAAAAAAAAAATGTGCTCTTCAGTAGGGCTAACTGCGACCTTACTGTAAATCAGAAAGAGGAATTTTATGGAGGTTATTTTAGCAAAACACACTGTTTGGTCTGGCTGCTTCAGACTGAGGCTGGATTTGGTCTTAATACAGCTAAAGAGGATTTCTGTCAGTTTGCAGAGAGCAGGGGGAGAGGATGTAAAGCTGTCACTCCAGAGGCAGAACTGTGCTCAGGACAAATGTGACAACAGCCTTTGGCATGCATGAGGAATGATAGCACAAACTCTTGGGATGCACAAGGAAGCAGTTTTAGTTTCCGAAGGGTATTTGACATGGATACTACATACTTATTATGTATGCTTGCTTACATGTGTCTTGTCTGCATGCCGAAAGTAAATATGATGTTGCTTGGCAGACTTTGTGCTGCTATGGGTGAAGTTTGACACACTGGTTATCAGTTGTTTTTACAAGTGGAGATTAAGGTGACAGAAAGCAAAATTTTAGCATTCTCCCAAGTTAAACCTTTATGTGAAACTTTTGTTTTAACAAAAATTATACATGCATACACAAAGCTTACAGATCATGCTTGTACTTTATTCTTTCACAGTAAACAAATAGTCTGTTAACACTAGAATTTTAGTGATTTTGTATTTTAATTGAGTACCAGAGTGAAGTGCTAGAAAGCCAATTGTATTCCACATTCTCTGGTAATATTTAATCACAATTATTGGATCTGATGCATGTTTGAAATGCTCAGAATAAATTTTAGTAACAGCTCAGAAAATAATTCTGAAATAAATACACTTGTTAATATAGGCAAGTGTTATTTATAATTTAACAGGGACATTTTGCCACATGTAACAGTTACAAAGTAACGAGAGATCTCTGAGGTAAGCTATAAATATATAACTTGTACCCAGTTCATAAGGGTTTATGGCTGGGAGTTCATGGACAGCTCAGATACATAATTTCCATCTATTCTGTACAGTGGTTCATTAGGCTTCACAGGTGGTGAATCATTATGTCAGGAAATGCAAGAGATGTCATCTTGTCCAAATCTTGCCATGTTATCTGGAAATGAGTGAAATGCTAAATAAACTTACTTGCCCAGCCTTGCATCTTCTCATTACTGGAGTGTCTGTTCACTCTCTGTTTTTCCTACATGCATGTTACTAGTTTATTTCTGTTTGACTTGCAGAATGGATGGTGTTTTAGCTGAATTGTATCCTTTTGCAAGACAAGCCAATCTAATAAATAGTAGCTAGAACAGCATGTCTATGGACTAATGAACCTTACTTACTGAATGAGGAGGAAACGTGATCTCTGGTCTATAGACCTGTTAATTAGATCTGACCTACCAGCATTCTCTACTGCTTTTTTGAAGGTGGATTAATTTTTTTGTTAGTTTCTTTCCTCTTGGGGAGAAAAAGCTTCACAAGAAATGAAGTCAGCCTTACAGTAGAACATTTGATGTAGTGCCACACAAGAACTTTTAAAACTTCTGAGCATATATAAAAAAACTATGTAAAGAGAACAGTAGTAAATACAGTTGAACAGCTTCTGGTGCTAAAGAGAAAATAAAGTGAAAAATATCCAGAGGCACCATTTTTTAATGCCTTTACTAACAGTTTGTGGTCAGAAAGCTGAGCATACTAACAAAATCTGCTAATGCCGTGCTGTTGAGGGGAAGGTATTACTGATGCAGAGGGCCACCGTATAAAGGGGATTGAAGGACTGGGGTAATAAGGTACCATTGCAATAGTTAAACTTGTAGGGGTGGGGGAAGAAGGTCCTTCACTGTATAGGTTACAAGGATATGGATTAATCAGTGGTAGTATGACTGTTGTGTTGTCCATGTCATCTGTAATGCGTAGGGTTTCTCTAACAGAAGCATTAATAGAAGGTCCTAGTGAGATCTTTCTTTGAATAGAGGTTGCACTTACATGTGTCCAGGAGAGACACATTCAAAGCAGAATCCAGAGAAGGGTTTTGGGATGACTAGAGGCAGAAAGCCACCTCACGATGAGAGAGAGTGCTTGGCTAGTTTAGCCTGGTAGGATTAAACAAGTTACCTCTTCCTTCACCTGTATAAAATGTAAGGAGGGATTTAAAAGCCAAAGAGGAGTAAGAACTACTTTAAGCAGAATTTGTGATTTAAGAGACTTTTAAACATTAGAGCAGTTGTGTGTGTGTGTGGTAGGGTTTTTTTCCCTCCTTGTTTGTCTTATTAGGAGGCTATTCAAAGACCTAACATATCTGAAGAAAAGTTTGACAAGGACACAATTTAATACTGCTGCCTGTAGGAGTGGGCAATTGGAACTGATGACTCAGAAGGTTTTTCCCAGCCCTGCGTTAATAATGTGCAAGTGTGTGCAAAGCATTAAGTGGCTAGACAAGTCCTTCATACCTATTTAATGTTGAATATACATGAATTCTGAAAAAATAACTTGAAGACAGCATGCAAGTCTTCTGCCAGACCTCTGTCTGTGAACAGATCATGGCATTACAATTTGACGAGTTTATGATAAGTCAGTCCAAAGAGATCCAAGTGTAGTGACAGGAATTTATTCTAAATACAAAAAATAATTGTTCCCAGATCTTTCCAATTTATTCTTGACTGTGTATCTTCTAACTACACAAAGTAGTTTTATCTTTGAGTTCCTCACAGCATACTGCTGTAACTGGACTGAAATGAATATTTTTTTCATATCCTTAAGTGCTTGTAATTAATTAATACTCTTAGCTTTTGGATAGCTATAGATTTAGTCAGGAATAAAATTTTATCCTTTTCCTTATAAGCGCCATTTGCAGTACATAAGATGATCTGGGATATGGTGTACTTGATACCAGGAGGTGTATACTCTGGTCCAAAATGGAAACGTAAGGAAACTTCCATTTGCCAAATATGAGAACTTCCACTCATAGCTGCAAAAGAAAAGTGGAAAAATCTATTAATAGTAAATTTAAGGAGTACTTCGTAGATGACAAGTTATAAGAGAATGAGCTCACAATTGCGCCAAAAACCTGAATTACCACATGAGCTGAGTAAGGATTTCTGAGGGTAGTTTGTTCTGGGATGTTAGCTGCTGTAGAGAAACCGAGGGAGTTAACTGTTATGTTAGTCACTACTTAAAGAATTTCTTAGCCTTATTAAAGGGCAGAGGGAGGGAGATAAGCCTTCCTGTTCTTCTCCCTCCCTACGCCCACATGAACGCCTTCCTCTGTCCATGGAAAAGAAAAAAAAGCTGTGGTACATCAGGACTTTTTGAGAATAAGACTTATTGATGGCCACTGAAGATTCCTGCAGTGAATTCAGTGTCGTTCTTGATTGGCACTCTGTGTCCAAAGAGCTTTATGCACACTGTAAATCCCATAATCACTCAGTTGACCTTGAAGGAAGGCAATGCTGCCCAAGATCACTGAACCACACTGCACACTGTGTTA